TTCAGCTATTACTGAATCCCGCAAATTTCTGTTCCAGAGTTTCCAATAGGATTTATTGAATCCTAGATTCAAGGCAAAATGGAGAAAAATAGGATTTCAGAACCTGTAGCCTATAGGAATTTAAAATTTTATTTTTAAATTCCTATTTTAACAGAAATATATGCGCAAAAAGTTCATAGAGTTTGTGGCCGTGCTTACAAAAGTTATTCCAACTTGAACAGATTGGAGGAGGTCATGCAGAAACTCGATGAAGTTTCAGCTAAGGTCGATACTTTCCTTTGTCTTCCAAAAATTACCAAGCAAGAGTAACAGTTTTGCGACGATTGAGCAAGCAGATCCTTCCCTAGATTTGTTGTCATTGGTCGAGGTAAGGAAATGTATTGCTTAGACTGAAAGGAAAATTTTATGAGATGGTGGTGAGAATTGCAATGCTCTATGACCCTGAAATTTGGCCTTTAAAAGATAAGCAGAAAACTAAGTGTTGCAGAGATGAGAATGATTAGGTGGACGAGTGGCTTTACACTTAAAGAAAAAAAATGTGAAATAAATATATCCGTGATAGAGTTAGTGTAGCTCCAGTGACGGACAGAATTAGAGAGAGTCGTCTTAGATGGTTTGGTCACATTAAACGTCTACCATCAGATGATCTGATTAGCAGAGTAGATGTTTTAAATTCGACTTGTGTTAAGAAAGACAAAGGTAGACCTAAGAAGCCATGGGCATATTGTATAAAAAATTATCTAAATTTATTAGAATTAATGAAAATATGACACTAAATTGGACGCAATAGAGAAAAAGGTTTCATGCACCTGACCCCACTTAGTGGGATAAAGGTTTTGTTGTTGTTGTTTGTTGTTGGTCGAGACAAGGAAAAAGAGTATTTTTTAGAAGAGGAGTTCATCCTCAGAGTAGAACAGATCGCTAGCGAGTGAAGTTAGCTGACGTTGCGTTAATTCCAACAAAAAAAAAATTAGGTAGGGTTATTATAGTTTTATTATTTAAAATGTTATAAATAATAGCCACGGGAAATTTTTCAATTCAAATGCTAATATTACTTGATCAAACTTAAATTTCTAATATAGTGTTTTCTAATTTTGCATTTAAAGAGCTGCTCTGAAAGGTGAAGCCCCCTTGAACAAGCCCAAAATCACCTCACGGGCATCACGCCATGAGCAGCCCTAGCTACAGACGACAACACTCACGCCAAGTTGTGCAACTATTCTATACAAAAAAGAAAAAAAAAAAAAAAACTACACAGCCCTAGCCGCGGATGAAAAACAAACGACACTTGTATGCCTTCTTGCACGGCTATAGACAGCCAAAGGCACATGAAATCACCACACACGGATGAAGCCACCTGCGGGATTATTCATGGGCGGGGCCAAACTGATTTGGCCAAGGCAAACACTGCCACTTAAGTGAAAGAAGTGATGACACGGGTAATTATTATGGGATAGGGTTTCAGATTTAGGCATTAGGAGACTGAGATTGGGCTCACATGCAAAAAGCCAATATCAGTATCAGTATCAGTATCATCTCAATCAGAATAAGGAACAGTTGAAACAGGAAATAGCTTGGCTTTGGTGCATTGAATATTGCCAGTGACAGACACTCTCTACTAGTGAGTTTTATGCACCACAGTCACCACAAAGGCAGAATAAAATTTTAAGGGAACGCGAGGCTCCAAAACAGATTGAGCAAAAAATAACATTTAAGAAATTCAAAATTATGACTGCACTAAATTTAATGCCACTAGTAGCTTTAAAAAGAAATAAATGCATAAGAGAGATTGGCAAAGTAAAGTAGAAAGAGTTTAATAATGTAGTTAATAATACAATTTTTTAAGATTATATTTACATTCTGAAGAGAATAACCAGCAATCTAACAATTCTACTAAAGTACATTTTTACATTTTGATAAAATAATGCCTTTCCAATACCTGAATTGGAACTTTTACAAGCTTAATAAAGTTGTCAAGTCGACCTATTTTAGAATCGACAGCTTGTTGTCGTTTATTTTTCCAGCGCTCGATGTTGGACTCATTTGTAAAGATAACCTGCAGAAAAATATAAACATGTTGTGGAGGTGAATTTTAAAATAGATGCGAACACTTAAAACTATTATGAAGGCCACCATGAGCAAAATTAAACAACCAGTTTATGTCCTCCATTGTAGAGCTCTTGCAGCTTCTCTGGAATGGATGGATACATAATAGACCACGCATCTGCACCAATTCTGCAAGGTTGCATACTATAGTAAATATATGACCAAGTATCGAAACCAGTTTTAATTTCACTCTCAATAGCATTTCTTTTTAAATATACTAAAGGGCATTTACGACTTTATGCCCCATTTACATATCAAAATAGTTAATACAAAATATAGAAATTTAAAAAATACCTTGAATAATTTGTATGGTCCCAAAAATAAGATATAAAATTCTTAAGACTTTTTACTGTTCAGCAAATTTTGACTATTACAGTGTCAATGTCATCAGAGGGACTCCGAGTACTCCCCCAAAAGCACGGGTAAGGGCAAAGGGTAGTGAGTTGGCAGCACCACACTCCTAATTATGCATCATTAACTAAGGAACCAACTATGTGAGAGACTTAACAGTTTTATTTTTATTTAGAAGCATGCACAATCAAAATTGAGATACCTTTATCACAGTAAATATAATAAAATATTTGGGAACTTTAAAAAAACGACATATAAAACTTGAAAGCTATCTTGTATGCATTGCCATTAATATTTGTAGCAACCCGGAATTGATTGACGACTAAGCTACAACTTTCCAAATAAACTTGTAGTAAATCACTCAATATTCAGTCTGGTCCACTCAAATCACCTTCCTTGAAAGCCCGAGCTTTCCGGGACTTGTTTGTCTGGTTTTGATATTTAGCATTTTGTTTAATAATTTTTGTCCTCACCTGCTTATGTAAGGCCTGAACCACTCAGAATCTAACCTCTGCATTTGCTCAGTAGCAAAAAGTATCGACATTAACTCAAAT